ATGCCTATTCGACGAAAGAGAGCGAGATTTCAACAACTTACGGAGTTTAAACGGGGGAGAATCATCGGCCTTCGTGAAGCTGGATTATCTTATCGTGCAGTAGCAGCTCGTGTGCAGCGTAACAGCAGCACAGTGATGCGTGTTTGAAAGCAGTGGATGGACGAGTGTCGGACAACTCGGAAATCCGGGAGTGGACCCCGAAATGTCAAGTCAGCTCGCGATGATAGACACCTGTTTGACGTTGCGCTAACGGACCGTACGGCTCCTTCTAGACAACTGGCAGCACGGTGGTCAACAGCTACAGGTGTTTCATTGTGTGCTTTATCAATTCGTAGACATCTGCTGCAGCGTGGACTGCGCGCAAGGACTCCTTTATACAGGATCCCCCTCACGCTGAACCTTCGCCGCCTACGGCTGCAATGGGCCAACCAGTATAGGGACTGGCGTGCTGATTGGCAGCGTGTGGAGTCTTCTGACGAATCTCGCTTCAATTTGTGGTACCATGATGGCCGCATTCGTGTCAGACGATATGCCGGTGAACGCCATCTTCCGGAGTGCGTTATCGAACGTCGCAGTGGACGAACACCCAGAGTTATGGTCTGGGGTGCCATAGCATATCATGGACGATCTCAATTGTTACGAATTGTGGGTAATCTGAACAGCAACCGATACATCAGTGAAGTTCTACAGCCCCAAGCTTTCCCTTCCTTCAAGCCTTGCCAGGGATGTGGGATTTCGTTTGTGGGATTTCGTTGGTCGGCGTCTCGCTCGTAATCCTCGTCCTGTTGCTTCTACAGACGAACTTTGGGTACGCATACGAACAGTATGGAATTCTCTTCCTCAGACAGACATTCAAAGTTTGCTTGACTCCATGCCACGTCGTGTAGCAGCACTTATTGCAGAGCGTGGTGGCTACACAAAATACTGATTTCGATCTCTTGTTATTGTTTATTTGCTTTGAAAGTTTAATCATTTACTTGTACCACTACCACTCAACTGTGTATTAAATTTCATTCAATTATGACGATTCCTTCATGGTGTTGCAATTTTCACAAACAGGAGTTTAATACCGAGCAGAATGACACTAATAGTTAGTTGTTTCAAACATTTGCTTAGATATAAGAGCATATCCCATAGGAAGAAATTCAAAAAAATGCATATAATTTTCTTTACTTGCAATTGATTTTTTAGCAAATCAGCATTAAAAGTGGATAAGAAATAATACTGACTAATTTCTAAAAAATTAAAGATTTCCGAAATTCGCTAATTCTTGAAGCAGTATAAAGATCTGCATAAAAATGCTCATAACCTTGAAACAAATTGCCATATAAACTTGAAATCGGGTATTATTTAATTCTGCTCAATATTCTAATAAGTAATAACAATCTACTAGTAAATAATTAACGTGGGTAAATTGCGAAAAAATAACATGTAGTGAAAAATAGCAGTTTTGTGATCAAACATGAAGAAGTGAGCTGGTACAGTTACTAGTTTTCAATTATCAAGAATCTGGCAAATTATGGTTATCAACAATTACATAAATTCTGTAGTTTATTAGGAGAGATTACTTTTTGCTTTTGATATAAATTCAGAACTACTTCCCAGGGGAAGGCTGAGCAGTAGCTTGCTAGCCACTTCTTCTGCGTCGCTGCGCATGTGCTATTTACAGCCTGGGTCATCTCAACAACATCAAAGAACAACTTGTGAATAAGCTCTGTAAATAAATATATATATATATATATATATATATTACAAAAAGAAATTGCATGTTAATCAGAATTAAAATGCAGTATTATTATACATATTTTTACTCATAAACAACAATATAAACTTTGCATACAGATTTCCAAGCAAACGATCAGTAAACAGCTTTCGTAGAATTTTAAAGCAAAATTGTTATTTTAAAATCTTTTAATTTTCAATGATTTATTTATAAGGGAAATTAAAAACATTTAATCAGTTAATCAGCTTGCATACTGCTACGTTAAAACATATATATTTAAGCAAAATGAAAAATAGTTATATTTGAATAAATAGCAAACAATAAAATATACTATGCGTATTCCGCGGTAACGATTCACCAGTAACAATACCCTGAGCAGCGACGAGAAATACTCCGATTTCTCTCTCTTATTGCTAAGCTTACAACAACAGCCTCTAACAATATCCTCCGAATTAAATTATCTAAGATCAGGTAACGTCTTTGAAACAAAAATAATAAAATTTAAGTTTGAAAATTGAGCATATCTGAATAACTGTAATAAAACTAAATTAATAAATGTCAAACACACTTACCGAATTTCGCATAGACTTTCGATTGTCAACACACACGCAATTCGCCAGCTCACACGGAACTCTGGGAAATGAGCTACTTAATATGAAATGTACTTTAAACAACCTCAAAATAAGCTTAGGTATAACTGAAATGACTTCATACACTCCAATAAATACCTGACTCTCTTTAGTTGAAATAACGTGAAATTTTTATACCTCATATATACCGATTTTGTTACGAGTGTAAGAAAATCAACCTGGTCTACTTTAGAAATCACTTTATCAGTCTGGTTGATCTGAAGTGAATTTAAAACAACCTTAAAATAAGCTTAGGTATGAATATAATGACTTCATGCACTTCTATAAATACCTCAGTCTTTTTAGTTGAAATAAGGTAAATATTTTTATACCTCATAAATACTTCCTTTGTTACAAGTATCAGAAAAAAAGCTTTGTATACTTTAGAATTCACCTCATTAATTTAGTTGATATGAAGTGAACTTAAAACATCCTCAAAATAAGCTTAGATATAAATAAAATGACTTCATGCACCTCAGATAATACCTCACTCTCTTTAGTTGAAATAAGGTTATTTTTTATATACCTCATAAATACCTCTTTTGTTACAAGTGTCAGAAAAACAATCTGGTATACCTTGAAAATCACCTCATCAGCTTAATTGATTTGAAGTGAATTTTAAACAGCTTCAAAATGAGCTGAAGTGTATGCAAAACAACCTGGTACACCTCAAATACAACCTTTACGAGGTATAATTTTCATGGTTGTTTTCTCAGCAACCTCAAACATACCTCAAAACAACCTCGATACCTCAAAACGACCTCAAATATACCGTTAATTTTCGTAAGGGTATGCTTGGCACCTCATCTGAATTAAGGAATGGTCACATATGCACACCAGTATTTTTTCTTCTGTCTGAGTCAGCGGGTACTCTTTTTTGGAAGAGCATGTTCAGCAGATTCTGTTGTTGCTCACGTGCTTCACGTTCAGCTTCTTTGTGAATTTGGTCAATGGTTTTAGGATTGTTTTCCTCTCTTCTAGGAACCCAACCATTCTAAAAATGCAAAAACAAATTTAAATACTCAATTTTAAACTCAAACAAAACTTAAAGTCATTCGATAGGGTATTTAATAACTTACCCGTTTTAAATCTATAACATCTTGCAACACGAACCTAACCCTAAAACCAGTTAAACGTTTGTCTACTATATTTTGCATTTGTGTGAAATAACCATCCATCTGAAAAGGAGAGATTGCCGAAATATGGGTTTAAAATATGATAAAATAAAGTATTTTGAGAAAATATGCTAAAATATGGTTAATTACGATAAATATTACTTCAATAACTGACTATGAAAATTAAACATACAAATTTATGTAATTCATTTTGGTAAAAATTTATAGGCAAACAATTTCAAATCATTGCTTGTTATTTAACTTGATAGTATAAATTTTTGAATTGTAATGTGCAAAAGTTTTTGCATCATATTAAATATAGTAATATAGGATAGCAAAATCCAAAATATAAATAATTACTATTTTAAGAAGATCAGAAGATCTGATCATCAGAAAGATATAAATTAGTTGCTAAGTTATTCAAATACATATTTGGTTGAATAAGGTAATAAATAATGCAAGCTGAAATATTTTGAAACTAGGAGGCTCAGCCCCCTGCTCGCTAACGCTCGCCAACCCCCGAGAATTGCCACGCAATCCTATGTGGTTCACGCCGTGNAATCGGATTTCGGTGGAAAATGAGCCGATATAGAGTTTAGCATAGATTCAAAACAATCATATCGCCATATGAACTCTGATAAATAAGATTCCAAATGAAATAACATTTCCAAAACGTACGTTTACCAAGATAAAATTTCATGTAGTGGGAATTGGTACATTTTTGTTTTTTCGGTAAAATATTTCCCCCCTGAAAAAATAAAATTGCATCTTGTTTTGTTTTTGACAAATCCCAAACACGAATTTTCGTAGCACTAAAAATGGCGACAAAAAAGAATTGTTTTTGATTTTTTTTTTGTTTTTGTTTCGTCAGCATTCTTTACTTTACGTTTCTTAGTTTCCAAATAATGTTTTTTATTGAAACTTGAAATTTTTGTCAAAAATTGTTTACAAAAAACCTTTTTTACAAAATTAAATTTCCTAAAATAGTAAGGTTTATGTATACTTTCTGTTCATTAAAATTTTTGAAGTAATATGATTCTTAAAACTATAGAATGTAAAGTTTAAATGGGCCTTTCATGTTATATCATTAAATTTAGTAAAACTATTTCTCGGGCAGTAGATTTTAACTCTTATAAGAATATACATATTTTTTTCTGTTAATGTACAAATATTTTTCCGATATCTTTTGGATATTCCTTCTGTAATAAAAAAAATACCATTTTGTTTTCGTTTGCATAAGAAAGAATACCAAATATTTTTCTTTTTTAAATTTAATTAGCCACAATAAAGAAGGAACGTTGCAATGCTACGTGCTACATTAAAGACGTCTCTAGAGTAACTGAATCACTGTTCATATGGAAATCGCAGGTATCCGTCACATACAACAACGCCCCCTATAGTTCGTTGCGATCGCGAATTGAACAACCTGATAATGCTCATTCTGGTTATTGTTTCCGTTTTTAAAAGCGCTATATGTTGAGCCACCGCATATGACATTTGCCATGTGACATTTTTAGCAGCAATCATTGGTCGATTTTCTAACGTTGCCATTCGGGGAGTTGTAATAAAGCTTTTTTTGGTGCCGTGTAAGAGAAATATATATATAGATTAAGCTATAATTTTCACCTGAAATAAATATCTTTTAACAATCTAAAAATATTTTTAAGCACTTAAAAAATATGAATTAGAAATAATTTTTTCTTTTGTCAAAAGTTCTTAGGTATGCAAAAAATAAACAAAATGAAAAAATAATTTCCATGACTTAACATTATCCATGTAAATTAACTAGTTATTGGCAAAGAACTAAGAGGAAAAATTTATAATGTTCAGTTGGCCTCGATGATAAGCAGAAATTTCGAAGGTTTTTGATTTCATTCGAGAGGGCGGAAGAAGCCTGAAATCAAAAGTCTCTTACAAAATGCAGTAGGTTGTATGTGATTGCAAAAAATACTTCCCATTCCAGCATCGAGTAAGCGGCGTGGAACTGCGAGTAATTCAGACAACATGCAAATAACAATATGGCGAAATTGATTGTTGTCAAATGAATTGAGAAAATGCTGCGTAGAACATTGTAAAATTCACACTTTTTGCGAGATTTATAACAACAATCGACATTGCACTTTACTAACACCTTACTAAAAATCACGAGTGTTTTAAAAATCAAAAGCAAAAAACAAGCACTTTTTAAAAATGCAACACCCAGCTACCTCTAGTAACATCAACTATCATTTATCTCGATTTTCAAGTTCAAGCACGATACTTTTATTCATTCAAGGCAGCACTATAGTGAAGTAAAATTTACATTATCAATAAAAAGTAACTGAAAATTATAAGAAAACTTATAAAACATAAAATATGAAATTTGGTACTATTAGAAAGGCATGTCACAATAACATCGATTACAGAAGAAAAGTAAGACAATAATTCTTTAAAATTTATTTTAAGCAAAGTTGAATGTGCATATTGTGTTGCAATTTATAGCGGTATTATTATAATAATTTTTCATACTTCCAACTATACCGAATTTATATTTATAAAATCCTCACTAATAATAAAATAAAAAAAAAAACTTATACACATTGAAAATTAATAATTAAGTAAACGATAACGAAAATATTGCTAAAATCTAATAAATGCCTACGAATTATTAGAAACCCTCCAAAGAGGCAATCCTAAGTGGTTTTGATATATCTCATTCTGACTTACTAGTTACTTGCTAGTATCAAAGTTTTTTCATTTTTTTCGCATTTAAATTTAAATCAGATAGTATCAATCTATACACTTTTTCGACAAGGAATCGACAAGGATTAAAATCTGTATAAAGGTTTATTGTTCTATGAATCTGAAAGTATGTGTTGTGTTTAATAAGCTTCTTAAAAAAATATTTATTAATTTGAGGATAAATTATCTTTTTAAACTTATATTATTTACAAGAATACTTTTCTTCACATTTTATTACAAGTAAAAGCACAGATCAGAATGAAAACAAAGAACACTTACCATACTTTCTCTTGAACCTTTAACTCTTCGATAATCCAATTCTTTACCTGTCGTTTTCAGCAATTGACTCAGGCACTCAAGTGATACTTCATCTCCTCGGGAGATGAGAATCTTTATACATTTATGCAAGATAGGTTCAGTTAACATCCCAAGTTTAAAGAGTTCGCCCAAAAATCTAAAAAAAATAGACAATTGAAATGTATTTTAATTTTTTTTTATATGCATGAAATCTATATAGAATTGAGAAAATTAACAGCCAATATTTAAAACCAGAACTTTTGATCTTGCTCGTCTTTTATTGAAAATCGATATACTGATTGACAAACAAAACTTCCAAACTAATAAGAATGCCAGTTATTATAAACTATGATAATAAAAATAAAAACAGACCGATAAATTTTTTGATTGTCCTTACGTACCTTTCAATTAAAATAAGTTATCCTATATTTTCAAGTAAAATTGAATTCTTCATAGCCAACAATGCATACAAATAAATATCAGTGAGGTGATTCACTAAACAATTGCGGGTGAAAAAGAACTTAATCAGTATAATCTTAATCTTAATGGTAAGCATCTAAACCCTTATAAATTATTTTTAACACATGGTTAATTCCTATGTGTGTTAGCTTAATGTAATTTAGATACACCAATATACATAAAAATATCATAAGATGAAAATGAACTATATAAGTTTTTTTTTAATATTTAACATCTGAATGTTTTTTTAATATCCATTTTTATGTGAAGTTCCTCTTTCAACATTTTTTATGACATTTTTTTTAGGAAATAAAATTCTGTAAAAATAAATAAAAGAAGGAAATAGTGTTTCTTTTTAGTCACAAAACTATAAATAATAAATCGTTATAATGTTTTCAAAAAACTGTAACAAGAATTTGAAATTTGTCAACAATTTTTTCAGGAGTTCAAGAAGCATAAAAAAATTAAGTTTCTTTAAAAAACGTGAAGAGCTTACAACTACAGTAGAGTCTTGATTGCTCCAGTTTAAAAAAAATCCGAGTTAAATCAGTTTTGCTCCCAAACAATGACCAACACACACACAACACTTGGAATGATAACTACGGCTGAATCTTGAAGAACAAATTTGTGTATTAAACACTAAAACACGTGAACGATGTTTTTAAACAAAAAATATTAGACAATTATTATTTTTTGTTTTGTTGTATGCCTGTTTAGGCAGTGAGGGTGCGATTGTTCCTGTTTTTCAGTGGCGCCATCTATGGCCAGGAATTCGACTTCTGTCACGCCATTCACACAACCACAACCCGTTTATAGGGCGGGCCACGTTCACACACAAAGGAGAAAGGACATAGAACACAGAGAGAGAGAGAGAAAGAAACATCCATGCCTTGCCCGGGATTTGAACCCAGGACCTTTTTGATGCAAGGACAGTTCCCTGTCCCCTACACAAGCCGGTCGGAGACAATTATTTTAAAATACAATTAACCTGATGCAGTAATTAATATTGTAACTTGGTGTAATGCAGTAAAAGTACCCTGATCTGTGGCCTGTGGCCACAATTAAAAACTCCAGTCAAATGGCGGGCCGCAAATTTATCAAAATTTTTTAAGGGAGTCTTTTATGTTAGAAGGAACATTAAATATTACTGTCAGATTTCTATCAAGTTGTACAAAACAAAAGTATTGAATTACAAATTGAAATAAGAAGTAGATTTTTAAAAATATTTAATTGCATATTAAAAGATTTTGGCTACAATAACTTTAATGTGCAGCTATGTATTAAACAATTAATGTTCAACAGATATCAAATTGTTAAGATATAAAACTTTAGAAAGGTTGGTATTAAAACTTACATAGTAGCACTCAAAATGCTCAATGAGAGAATTGAGGCTTGTGTGCTGTACTTACGTTCGAATGGAAAATTAATAAAATAAGGATTATATTTTGCTTTTAAATATAATTTTTTTTAATATTGAAAACCAAAATAAAAAGCATTACAAATAATTTTGTTACGTATCATTTTGAATCTTCTCTTAATCAGAAACTTAGTGACAAGATTTTTTCTTCTTTTAAATTTAATTATCTGATAAATTAATATTTTTTTCAGACCTATTAGGATTTAAAGCAGAAAAGAAAAAAAAACTTCTCGATCATCTGAAATTATTTTTGTTTTCTTTTCCGCTCACGCTCAATTCGATTCAAAGAATTTAAATAAATATGATATTCATTACCTTCTTTATGCGTTTTAAAATATACAAATGTAAAGAATTTCGCACAAAATTAGTGGTTTCAAAAAATTAAATCGGAGAATTTCCTCGAGAAAATTTCTGATACGCACATGCTAAATTATATTCACAAAATACAAAAAAAAAACGAAATAAAAAAGAGCAACATACACGACTATTTTTGTATTTTAATAAATATTTTCTTGAATGCAAAACCTGAGAAATAATTTTTTTTTTCGTCGCTGGTATGTTAAATTTCGCGGAAACTAAGAGATTAGGTTTTTTTTTAACGAAATAAAAGTATTTTAAACAAATATAGATTTTTTACGAAAATTGTCCGGAAAAAAATGACAACTAATATATTTTAGTTCGCGGGCCACAAAAAAAGGCTTCAAGGGCCGGATGTGGCCCGTGGGCAGCCAGTTGGAAACCCCTGATCTAATGTAAGTAAATTTTCGTTAAATATATCTTTCACTTGAATACTGAAATTTAAAAATTGCTTTATTTCCATTTATTTAAATATTTCTTAAATTTTAAATTTTCGATAATTCGAGTTTTCGAAAAAGCGAGGTAGGCTCGGTTCCGTCCACATCGAATTATCGAGACTCTACAGCAGTGATTCCCAAAGTGGTCTATATCGACCCCCAGGGTCGACGATAACCTGCAAGGGGTCCATGTCAAGTGAAAAAGAAGTTGGGCGTCCATGATAGTGGGGTCAACGATAGTGGATCTCATATAAGCAAGTCGTGACTTTTAATTTTGGCATTTCATGAATGGAATAATCAACATACACTGATAGAACCTACTACCTTATAATATAAGGACATATATATAGATACATTCTACATAATTTATAAAAGTAGCTATGAAGCAAAAATTTTATGAAAATTTAAGTTATTAGGATTATTTTTTGATAAATGAAACTTAATTATTATTAACTAGCAGTTGCCTGCAGCTCCGCCCGGGTACGTTTTTATTTTCGCTGCGTGTAAGGTTTTATTTTGTAACAGAAAAGTATTTTTTCGCTGTAAATTGTAGCCTATCCTAGCCTGTGTCAACTCTTTAGCTAGCTAGATCTCCAACTTTATCTGCGCACAAGATAACGGAGATTCGTTGCTTAGTTTTTACGTGAAAACGCAATAAACAGACCGACAATACACTAATTCGGCTTTGTACACAAACTTATTTCCGCAATTATAATATTAGTAGCGGAGTACGGGCCCCTGTTGTGCACTATTTTATTCCATTTACATATTAATTAAATTAAATTAGTAATTAAATTAGTTTGAACTTAATTAATAAATGTATAAATTTAACATGTGTTTTTTTTCTTAAGTTTTTCACACTACACTTCCCTACAGTTAGAAATTTAAATCTTTCACACTAAGCAGCACTATACCAGCTGTCAAAAATACATTTGAAGTTGATGAATTTACAAAAAATCAATATCACGTAAGCAGGGGGTCTACCCAAAACCGAAAAGCATGGCAAAGGGGTCTACGAGACAAAAAAGTTCAGGAACCACTGATCTACAGCATAGTATCGGCCTCTGATCTACATTTTACTTAATAACAGATATTATCAAGTTTTTGACTTTAAATTGCTATTTAAAATATATAGCTAAAAACTAGATAGCTTTTTAAATTATTTTAATATTTTACTATGTAGTGTAAACCAACCAATGAAGGAACATTTCATACATATTGTTTAAAAATAAGATTTTAAACGTTTTTACTTAGATTGATTGGTAACAGTAGTTTACTACCTAACAATAAGAAGTCATCTAACAATGCATTGGGTTACCTGGTCATAGAGTCTTCTCTGGAAATATTTTTTAATTCGTTAGTATCTGTTCGACACCTTGTTTCTTTGACAAAATTATAAGGTCAGTGTTTATAGTTATCCGTTTAAAGTACAATTAATTGCATATAATAATGCTTTTTGTTCTCATTGCGAAAAAGAGAATTTAAAATATGGCTATTGAAGATACGTTTTATTTATTTTAAGCATCATAACATAAGCAAGTACTGAGATTAGGGGATGTTTATTAACTGGATTACCAAACGATGAAAAGTGTTCCTTTACTGGGATTTTCCCAAGTTAATGAAAATAAAAGAAATTTTTTAATTTTCTTGTACCTAGTCATATTATACATCAAGGTCAATCCAGCTTAATTTATTTATTATAATAAATTAAGCTGGATTGACCTTAAAGCAAAACTTACCGGTATCACGCAGGCGTACGATCTGAATAGTATTAACAGCATAGAAGGACTTAATAGTTTCATCAAAAACGTTACCAATGACATCAGTAACATCTGCAAACAAACAACTTTCAGGCGCAATACAAACAAGACCAATGCTGGGAACCTCTGGTGGAACAACGCGCTCACGACTATGAGAAAAAGGGTGAGAGCTCTTAGGCGAAGATTCCAGAAAAGCACTGACGTCCTGAGCAGAGCACAATATAAAATCGAATTTAAAAAACAGCTCGCAGTGTACAGGAAAATGATCAGGAGCCAGAAAAACAACAGTATCAAACAATATGTCGATAGCTTCACATTAAACACGGCTTTCGGTAAACCATATAAGATTTCAAAGGGCATTAATATTAGGAACAAAAATAACACCCTTACGACTAAGGAAGACGGCACAAGCACAAAAGACTATAGGGAATCCATTACCAATATTTTAAATCATCATTTTCCCATGGTACGGGAAGACGATACCCGAATTCAATTCAGTGGCAACCATGACCCACACTTTACACTCGCGGAAATCGAGCATGTCATCAAAAACATAAAACCGAATAAAGCTCCGGGCCCAGACGGAATTCCAGCCGAGGTGTACAGGGACATGTATTACTGTAATAAACACTGGTTCAGATCGGTATTGAACAAATGTCTTCAATTGGGTTCCTTTCCAGATCCTTGGAAAAAAGCCTCTGTCTGCCTGATTCCCAAGCATGGCAAAAATCCTCAATTACCGCAGAGCTATCGTCCAATCTCTCTGCTCTCTACCTGGGGTAAAATTTTGGATAAGTTGATTGCTGAGAGATTAATCTATTTTTTAGAAAGCAATAATATCTTACATGAAAATCAATTTGGCTTCAGGAGAGGCAGGGGAGCGGATGACGCGCTTAAATTTGTTGTGGACTATGTCACAGCTGCTAAACATGAAGGTAAACATACAGTGGGCGTCGCCATGGACATTAAAAATGCTTTCGGCTCTGCCAGTTGGAGGCTGCTTAAGCAGGAATTAAATAGTTTGGGTTTGGGCGACTCGGTGCTGGCGGTGGTTTTTGATTTTTTAAACAATAGATATGTTTGTTTTAATCGAATTGATGTTCTTATAGAATCACCAACCAATGTAGGGGTACCCCAGGGCTCGTCCCTGGGACCCATTTTATGGCTCATACTCATTAATTCATTGATCGTCAATTTTAACTATTATGATTGCAGTTTGCTTGCCTTCGCCGATGACGTCTTTTTACTGATGAAGCATTCAATACTCTAAAGAATCGACAAAATAGGTACAGATATTATACAGTCTCTTACGGACTGGGCCAGGGAACACAGCCTTATTTTCGCACCTGAAAAGACAAAATTGATCACATTTCTTAAAGACGCCAAATGTGTTAGAAGGCAACCGCGTATCAAAATATTATACATCAAAATTATGTTAAAAATACAAAAAACAACTTCAAACCAGTGAAGGAACAGGCATGTTCCTTCACTGGGAATAGATTTCCCAGTGAATGAACAGTATGTGTGAAATATGATTTTACATGGATAGTTAGTAGTTCTGCGATATGGAGGATACCTAGAATTCAGTTAAATGTTGTATGAATAGTTTCTATGACAATTTCATTTCAAAATGCTAATTTAATTGCTAAATTTATTGACTTATAATTTATTTGTTATTTATCTTTATAAATGTAGTGGTTAGTTACATCATACGTTAGACACCTTAATATACTACGTTTACTAATCGAAAACTAACTAAATATAATTAAAGCTTAAATAGAATATTTCTTTACTGACTTTTGTGCCAATAATTAGCTAAATTATTATCCTATTGCGCTTTTTAATGTCATGAAGGAAACTAGTAGGAAAAATCCAGTAAAAGACAATCTTCCAGGTGAAAAATGGGCGAAGTTTTTTTAAAGAAGATATCCACCGATAACTCCGTGCAATGCGAAGATAATTTCAAAAGGCAAAACTTCCTTTAGAATAATATTCGAAAGACTGGTTTGAAGAACTTTAAATGAATCTTTAGGAGGGAAGTAGCCCAGGCATCCGTTTAGAAAGTGATTGCATTAGCAATGCGAACGAAACGGGAGTTGAATACTGCCCTTAAACGGGGAAAATCTTTGGCTCTAAAAATTATAAGGATTTATATTCTATAGTACCTAGGGAAGAAAAAGAAAGAACAACAGTTTGGCCAACATTTTAGCTAATGGAAAAAAATACTTCCATTGGTAGTTTTTCCTTACTGAACAATTCTTTGAGATATTACAGAATCAGTTCCTGCTATATATTTCATTGGAAAAAGTGATTCATGAAATGAAACGATGACAGCAGCAACATTTTACAAATATATTACAAATGTTTCTACCCATGGTTAATTGAAAATGCTATCGAATTCCCTATTTTGCTTGTTCGGGATAGGTATAAATTTCATATCAATTTGAAACTAAGCCGGTTTCGTTCATCAAAACAAATTCTCTGGTTTAGCTTTCATGGAAATCTCCCTTTAGATCTTGAAAACAAAAAAAATTAAAAATTTTTCATCCATTTTTAAATAAGATTTTGACGTATCAACTGATGAAGTTAAAATGCTTTTATGAAATGTGGTATTTTCCATTCGATGTTGAAAATGTTGACTTTAACAAATGCATGCAGTTTACCCTAATCATCAAATTTACAATAAGAAAAATAACTACATTATTAAAACTGCTTGTTACACTCTTAACACTATAAATCAATTTAAATTAAATATTTCAGTCATGGGAATCCAAATATTAAAAGAAAGGGTAGAATCTTTAAACAAAATAACACAAATATTTGTTTTTATTTTTAGCAATTAGTGAGATATAAAATAAAGTTATATATAGTTTTAGTTCTTAGAGATTTAGATGTTATTTCTTAAGAATATTTTAATTTACAATAAATATATAAGATATAACTTTTTTTAGTGTGGGAAATAATCACCTTATATTGCCAAGCTGCCTATATCTCACTTTCTTATCTTCATCATACATTTCCTGCTCTAACTCTTTCTTCTTTTCCTACAAAGGAACAATTTTTAAAAGAGTAAAGATTTTAATTCTTAACTACTTAAAAATATCTGCCACTGCTTAGCAAAACAGTTTTTCTAAGTTTATCATAAAAATTTAACTCACTGGATCAGTCTCTTCCAGAGCCTTAACCCTTTCCTCGTGTTTCAATTCATCACTTCTATCCTGTTCAAATTCTTTCTGGCACTTCGTTAAAAGAACTTTACGGAAATTCACATAGTTCTTATTCTTAGTGGGCACTTTGATCTATTTTAAAAACAGATAAATTAATATACACCGTAGCACATTTTACAATCATTTAATTCAAAATTAGTTGGCTTACCAATGCCAAATGCTTGCACATGTTTGCATAGGGGACACTGAAGTTTGGCTCGTCCACAGCCTTCTCAAATATTAAATCAATGACTGTGCACAGTTTTTCCTCGGTGTCGATATTAAGATTTTTAACTTGAGTCAATAGAGTTTCAAACTTCTGTGGCGTAAGTTTATTAAGGATTCCTTGGACACTTCTTTTAAGTTTCTCTTTATCCTGTTAATAATAAAAAAAAAAGAAAATCATTATCAGTATTACAAGATTGTATATATTAGTTAATATAACATTAAATTACTTTATTTAATTACTTAGTTAAATATAACATTAAAACAACCTGTAGAGTGAACTTAAAAAAGTTAAGTTCAGAAAAATAAATTTCTAGTTTATACAAAAAACAAAAAAAATTTTCAATGCTCATTTTGTTAAATTTTTTCTTTTTTTACTTAAAATACAAATTCAAATCAAGTAAAACCTGTATCAAAAGCTAATACATATATTTTAATAGAATGGGGGCTCAATGAATTTGTAAGTATGACTTGTGTATTTATTTTTAAAAATGGAATGCAACAAATAGTAGTTATAATCAGCATGAATGATAATGAGGGAGAGAAATTTATCACAGAATGTGTAAATTGCTATTTATTAAAGGTTTAAAAAAAATTTTTTTTTTTGCTATTCTGCCAATATTTTTAAGTTTACCTTTTTTACTTCCTTCATTTTGAAAGAAAATTACATTTAAAAGTTGGATTTTTCAAAGGTTCGATTCACTATACTACTGCCTTTTTTGGGAGCTTCTCCCATTAATTATTTCAATGAAATGACTTAGTCTAAATGCTCTTTCATAAGTGTAACACTTCATTTTAAATTAACATTTATTTAAACACCTAAAAAAGGAGGAAACTTAAGTTCAATAATAACGAATTGCCAATTTCTTACCTTCTCACTTAAACACAAGAAATAACAATATTAAAAACATGAAACAACAATAATACAGTGTTTTCACTACAGCGCGAGAACCTCGAATATTTTTTTCTTTTCTCACATTAAAAAATGATTACCGCGAGGAATTCGCGCAGTCTATAAACCAATTTCAAAATTTGCAAATTTCTCGTATTTTGAAAAAAATTTCTCATTGCGCCATTTAGAATAAAATCTGTTTCACTTTTCTTCCTGGATCTTTCTTTATTTTAACCCTCTTCCCCATTATCTAGCCTCCCTATTTACCAGTATTGTTCAGAACCTTTAAGAACAACAAAACACCATCCCTCCGAACCACGGAATCTCTTTCAGAACGCATTTCTCTGCAACCACTTGTTTACCGTAGGTAAAGTTTCTTCATGTAAGACGTTCAAATTTTTTGCGCATTAATGTAAGATGGACAAATACCTTGTAAAGGCAATATCTTCCACTCCTAAACGGACAAATGAAAATGAAACAAATACGCATTTGAGCAATCTAATGAGAATAGCTGATGACAAAGTAGACGTAGAACATTTTCCATATGATGTGAAGCCAAAATATTTAATGCTTTAAAAATTAGAAGATGTTAAAAATGCATTATAATTAAAGAAATGATTTTTTTTCCAAGTCTCTTTGTGTGTGTGTGTGTGTGTGTTTTTTTTTTTAGTTTTTAGAAATCTCGCCCTGTTTTTGAGATAGAGTGAGAAATGCTCACCCATTTTTTTTCTGCGATGAAAACACTGTAATATAACAATAGTATGGACAGGATCACTAAAAACCTTCACTACGATTGGGCGTTCACTAAATCTAGAGTTCATTATTACGGAATCAGGCTGTATAATAAATTAAAAATTAAATTTGATAACTTAAAAATTCTGAATTTAATTGAGGTTGCGTAGCCAAATCTTTCAGCAAAAAATAAGCACTTTTTAAGCAATCAAAAAATATTTTTAAGCACTATATACATTAACAAAATGAAAAATAATTTTTCAAAGAATTTTCATGATCATGATAAAATAACTCTTTTCTTGCTTTTATAGGCCATAATAAAATGATCAAGATATTTTTCGGTTCGATATCAGAGGATGGAAAACGAAGTCTGAAATTGAGAATATCTGGCAAAATGCAGCAGAGTTGCTCATGAAAGTGCAAGAATCTCGCTGAACTCAGTTCAGTAGACTCACATACGGACTCGCGAAGTATTTCATCAAACTTGTAAAATAACTGGCGCTTCCATACGCTTTGGACCGACAGTAAGCTGAAATGGATTGTGGTTGAATGAATTGGGAAAACTTTGAATAAAACAATGTGAAAAGCACGCTTTTGCACAATACACGGCGAAAATCGATACGTTAAAGAGAAAAAATCTTATTTTCGAAAAGGGAAAATTAAGCACTTTTTAAAAACACCCAATGAAAAAAGCAACTTTTTAGTGCTTTTAAGTAACGAAAATCAAAAATAAGCACCTTTAAAAATGCTATGCACCATGTAATTGATTATCCAAGTAATTAATTAAATTACCAACATGCAAAAATTCTTTACATTAAAAATACAAAACAATCAAACATAAATATTGCTTGTACAAAGGTTTCCAAGCATTATCAGCTTCATGAAGTTTTACATTTTGAGAAAGGGATATAACTTTTTTGGTTTTAGAATCTCTTCCTTGGAGACTACGCCGATTAGCATAATTGTTCATCTGAGGCTGTAAAGACACAAGAACTTAGTTTAAAGAAAAAAACGCATGTTAAACATATTTGCATAACTTAGATATAAATATTAAAAAAACAAATAAATTGCTATGGACATTTTCCCAGTCTTTTCCTTTTTTTAAAATTAATTTATTTTCATCTAACAGTTTCTTATTTAAAAAGTAAAGCATCAAAATTATTAATACTTCAACTCAATTCTTAAACAACAAAAGAAGAATCTCTACAGAAATTCAAGCAGTATGAACTTAATCCTTTGCTTACAGCTCCTACAACTAATTTACCCGAATGTTAAGCATCATAGAATGTTAAGCACAAGCAGAAGGTTAAAATAACAGCTTAATAGTATGTATGCAAAGAAAAAAGTAATTTAACTTAAAAACTGTATTTTTTTAACCATATTTGTCGAATTGTCTTAACATCCTAAATTAAAAAAAAANAAAAAAAAAAAAAAAAAAAAAAAAAAAAAAAAAAAGAGTCAACATTTAATTTTTCAAGTTATATTAATCATGTAAATTTTTTTCAAGCTTCGTAATCTATCGAGTGTGACGTAGTGGTATCTCAATCCTGATTGGTTGTTGAAACATGACATTTGTTTACGTTAGCAACTGTTGTTTCAATTCTGTTTCGAGTAAGCTAAGCCTGTCAAGTATCAATTCTCCCAAGTGACACATTCTATATTCTTACACAAAGATTTAAATTCTTTCACTATACATTTATTACTATAACACAAAGCTATAAACAAACTAGTTATGCATCAAAGTTTCTGGGTCGGCGAAGCAAAAATAGATCACGGTTATAATAAAATGCATAAACAAATAATAAATCTAAGTTAAGTAAAAGACGCAGACGATCGAGAATTATATTTCAATAAATTCGATGTGTGATACGGCGTTGTATTTAATTAACATTCTATTTTATATGGAGAAGCTTAGCTCAATTTTAGCATTCCATTTTGCTTTTAAACGATCGAATTTGGCTGCGACGTCATAGGTCACATGTGTGGGTATGCATGCTCTTCCTCTTGAAGTGCAGGAACCCAATTGGTCATTATTTATTGAAACCGTTACACATCAAGAACTGTTTTGAAATTGTTGGGCATCTGTAATGTCAAGGACATTATTCAACGTAAAGGTTAAGTAAATCTGAACTGTTTTGATAAAGCTAATTATGAGACAGATGTTATTTAACATTATATTTATTTGTTTCTGGAATGGTTTTGTAATAGCTAATTTTCCTGCCCACTAAACGGACATTTAGCACAATAGTTACGTATATGAAAGAGTTGTGGAATAGTTAATTTCTTCTGCTAATAAAGTGAACGCAATTTAATGTTACGGTGATATCTTTCTGGAACTGTTTGAATTATTACTTGTGAAATACGATATTCTCTGGGTTCAATTATTCATATCGTTCGATTGTGCCTTCGCATTTCTTTAATTCATGTTGAATGGTCAAATCATTATTAAAAAAAGGTAATTAATGACAAGGTTATTAATTCCCAGGTAGCAAAAAGATATGATCTAATATTAGAAAGATGCGATATAGTACTGCCGTGCTAGAAAATGCAATACTCTTGAATCCTATCTTCTGATATTAGAATTAATATTATATAAAATTAAATAGTATTCGATCTAACATTCGAAATTTCAAAATTATCATCGATTTCATTATTTTTGGTCCAGCGCCACATATTTGTGAAAGGTTATCCCAATATACTAATAAATAAACATTTATTTATGAAAGAAAACGATAAATTAAATATTACTTAAAATATCATTTTCAGCCAATGCTATTTTATGGCAGATAATACTAGTGCTAGTTTGAGAACGGTTAAACTAGAAAAACTTTTTCAACTGTTTATGTTGAGTTGTAACTCCTTCTGCTTGTTTACAAGACGACAAGATGGCGATCTTGTTTCCGCTCAGGAGCTTTCGTTTCTACTATTTAAGGTATTTATAATTTAGTAGTTTTTTGTAAATTTTATAAATTTCAATGATAGTTACATGATAAATTAGTCTCGTAGGTAATGTTTTTTCCTTGAGTTAAAAATCAGCTAGAAAAGTAATTTAAAGCACGATGTGTTTGAGATTATAGATGTTGTAGAAACATTCAGTGTACCTACTTAATAAACTTCCCCGCTAAATTAAAACATTTAAGAATTAATTTATTGATCATGTATTCAATAAGGTCAGTAAATATTTTATATTGTGATTATTATTGTTCATTCGTAGTTGTTGACTTCTTTGTTGAAACGTATTGTCTAGCTGTAAGTAATAAGCACTGTTTTTCTGCAAAAATGAAAAAGGCAAAAGTAATGGTCTGTAAATAAATTAGCCGTGTTAAGTAAGAAATATATATCTATATATAATCTGCTACTTTTAGCGCAGTTAAAACCATTATATTGTAGAATGTTTAAAGTTTAATACAAACAATATTGCTAACATATTAAAATTTTCTGTTTAAAATATTGTACAACAATCAATTAAACATTTTTCTTTAAATATAGACTGATTTTTATTTGAATATAGGCTAATCTGTCTGTTTTTGATGCATCATTATTTATATTTATTTGTAAATGATTAAAAAATACCTAAACAATAATATGGTCTATTCAAAATGGTGATTATGGTGATTAGCCTTGATTAAATTATATTTTTTAAATAAATTCCTGTTAGAAATAATCTAATGCTGTAAAAATTTAGTTAAACTATAAGAAAAAAAAATATTTGACAAATGTTGTGCATGCATACTGACTTTTAAAGAATGCTATGTCAAAATATTTGGGGGAAGGGGCGAACTATATTTAATACATATTTACAACTTTGAATTATGTGAATTGTTAGAGAATTCTCCTTCTATATGATTTTTTCAACCATGAATTAATGATTTTGAATTCTCATAGTATCTTTTTACATTGATGTTCTTATACATTAATCAAATTTTAAAATAAGCAATGGTTTAATTTAAAATTTGATTAATTGCCATGCAACAATTACCATGGTTATGAAGACTGAAGCAATTACACGTTTCACGTGCGAAATGAAAGGAAGCCGCATCAGCTGTTCTTCCGAGAAAAGGGGCGAGAGTGGAATTTCCGGGGGAAAATGTCCCAATTGCACTAAGGTTTAAAGGGTGATGTATGAATTGGATCAGGATTTTATAAATAAGCCTGTGACTCGATGTCACATAATTATTTATATAATTATAATTAAGTAATGCTTAAATAATTCTTCTATTGCAAATCGAAATCAGGAATAAAATTACTTCTCATTACACAGAAAAAAAATTAATAATACCATTTTTTCTAGCAAATGATCTTTTAAACATTTATTATTTCGGAATCATTTTTTAGATTATCAGTTTAATACTTTTGTGATAGCTTCAGTGGTTCCAGTCAAAGTTAATAGGGAATTTTCTTTCAGTTCCGTCTTTTAAAATTTTATCTGAAATGACGATTTTCTATAACAAATCGTTATAAAGAAGTCGTCGTCGTTGTTGCTGTTGACGTATGCCTGTTTCCCAGAGGGGTGCGATTATTATTGTTTTCCAGTGGCTCCATCTATGACCAGGAATTCGATTTCTGCCACACCAAACGTCACACCCGTTTATAGGGTGGACCCATTCATACATCCATTTATTCATCCACAGATCGTAATTTTGACCTGAATCAGAGAACAATCGATCTCCAATCCAGTACCCCCAGAGGTCTTTATTTTTTATGGGAACATGGAGGACTTTTGCGACTCGACAGATTTAACATGCATCTACACGGGGGAGTCTTCGGCCGGAGGGGTTCGAACAAAGAAGTCGTTACCACACGCGAATGAAGACAGAGGAGGAAAAAGTGAGGATGCTTGAAAGGATGGAAAAAAATGTCTGATGAGCGAGATTTTGCTAAATACCAAAATTTAAATTTTAAATGAGTGGTACCCAGTGCTCGCAGTCTATATAAATACTAAGAATTCTATCTAGAAAGCGTCTGTTGACCCTGCTGTACTAAAGTAGCAGGCTGAGGGTTAGGTACTGGACCTACCATCGACTGATGGTGCTTCTGAGCAGTAGGCATTCCACCAGAGTTAGTATACATTCCTGGTTGACCTGCAGCAACCTGCTTATTCATATCATGAGGTGTATTGCTTGGAACAGTAGACAATTGTTGAGTAAAAGCATATTGCTAGAAAAAAAAATTAAGCACTTGTGAAAAATAAATATAATAAAAAACTAAATCAGGGTGCATAGACAAATCTTTCAATAAAAAATAAGTATCTTTTAAGTACTTTTTAAGCACTATATACTTTAACAAAATGAATAATAATTTTCAAAGTCCTATATGATCATGATAAATTGACACAGACAGATTTTTGACACAGAACTCTTTTCTTGATCATACTAGCCATTATAAAATGATTTAGAGATTTTTCGATTCAATATCAGAGGGTGAAAAATGAAGTCTGAAATTGAGAATATCTTGCAAAGTGCAGCAGTTGCACATGAGAGTGTAATAAAGTAGCAGGCTGAGGGTTAGGCTGTACTGGACCTGCCATCGACTGATGGTGTTGCTGAACAGTAGGCATTCCACCAGAGTTATACATTCCTGGTTGAGCAGCCGCAACCTGCACGATATCATGAGATGGATTGTTTGGTACAGTGGACAATTGTGTAGCGAAATCGTATTGCTCGAAAAAAATGAAGCTCTTATGAGAAATAAATATAATTAAAAACTAAATAAGCAATAAATGTAATAGAAATAAATCTAATAAAAATTACCTATTCCACAAGGATAAAAATCTATCATAGTCAGCTCATCACTAGCAGATTGGTAATAACCATACAGTAAGCTTTAGGTGCAGTGGATAATTTCCTAAATTGCTAACTCGTTGAAAGATCTTATGTGTATTATGATGTTTAACAATGTTAAAAAGCTTTTTAAGGGAACATATCCCAAGTNATACCCGATAAATCTAAAAATCTAAACCTCCCACAGTTAGTCTGATGGCGAAGGGACTCAAACCCATGATCCGTCTACCACTCAGGATATTTCATGTCAGCACTGTGGTCGGTGCAAGCCAGATGCTGATTAGTATCGACCAGCCATCAGTGGGATTCGAACCCGGTTTACCTTATTGGAAGGCGAACGCTCTATCCCCTGAGCCATCACGGTTCAAGAACAATTATTCAAAAAACTTGGTTTGAGTCTATATATTCCCACAATTTATAAAACTAAGATTTATATCTATCTTACCGGCATTGCCATAGGATTAGCACGCATCTGTTGACATTGCTGTGCTAAAGTAGCAGCTTGAGGATTATATACTGGACCAGCCATCGACTGATAGTGCTGCTGAGCAGTAGGCATTCCACCAGAGCTAGGATACTTTTCTGGTTGAGCTGCAACAGCCTGCGTATTCATATCATGAAGTGTATTGCTTGGTTCAGTAGACGATTTCTGGAAGGAAATCAAGCGATATCAATCTAAGAGAAAAAGCAGTTATGAATAATAAAAATTGACCACTTGCCACACGGACGAGCCTGCTTGGTGAAGTCGAGCAAATTTAAGGCAGAGTGTGCGATTCTTGTTTTTCAGTGGCGCCATCTGTGGCCAAGAATTCGACTTCGCCACACTATACGTCACACCTGTTTATAAGGCGGACTCATTCATACATCCATTTATTCATCCACAGATCGCAATTTCGACCTGAATCAGAGACGATCGATCTCCAATCCAGTACCCTCAGAGGTTTTGATTTGTTATGGGAACATGGAGAACTTTGCGACTCGACATAATTTTAACGTGCATCAGTTATGTAATTTATTTAATAGTAAATTATGTAATTGCCATTTTTGTCTAAGTGTACATTGTAATTTATTTTATAGTATATAATACATTATATTATTATTTAATTAAATTGTGTTGTATGGTGTTAATTTGATCTCTTCAAGGAAGTTTAAAATCTTTTCACCATTGGGTTATTATACGTAGCCTTATTTGGCACTTGCCACATAAGGTTACGTATAATCTGAGGTCTGAGGATTACTTAAACCAGATAAAATATCGTAAAATGAAAAATAAAAGTGAAGTTAGCCCACAATTTAGACAAGAGTTCATATACTATGAGTTGAACAAAAACTATTACAACTTGATTAGTTCAGGAACAAATGAACAATTAACGAAACAAATATACCTCAGTCAGTTTTAATTCATTGGGATCATCATTGCTATTACCACTTTCAGTTTTTGTAGAAGACATCAAGTCCTCTTCAGATATTTCAGAGGTTTGAGCTAAAAGAGAAATAATGAAAAAAAAAAGTTTTGAAATCACACTTAGAAACTTAAGTTCGGTAAAGTGAGTTTGAAAAAAATCAGGGAATGTGTCAGGGAAAAAAATTACATTCAATAATTAGTTTTAAATTTTTAACTGTTAAACTTGAAGTTAATAATATCATACAGGCCGTCCAACAGACCGCAAAAATGCAACTATAGAGTAGAAATTTGATGTGCGGAGAGAGTCAATTTTATTTATGAACTTTTGAGTTATTTTTTTTTCGAACATTAATTTGTTCGAATTTTATTGCAGTTTTAAATGATCCAGAAATTTATTCTTATTTTCTTTGCTTTAAATGAATTTTCATCAATTAATGTTAAAAAAATTTTTTTTCCCGCTATATCCTTCTATTAAAAGCACTAGCTTAAATTGATGGCGAAAGTAACAAAAAAAGTAGAAAGAGAGATTAGATTTCGGTGAAGACTGATTCAGCGGTGAACTGGGAACCGAGAAATCAGATTATTTTACCCAATAAAAACGAAACTGTTTCAGGGTTAAAAAGAACTTATCAGATGACCAAGTAGATGTATCAAGTAAAAATGACCCTACAATCCAAAATAGAAATTTTCAATCGCTTTGTTCCAAAAGCGAACATCGTCTATCAACAAGAATTTTAAATTATATACGAAGGAATCAAAGATTTACAATGTTAACAGGTTTTCAATTCAATATCAGTAAAATAAATAGAATGCAACCTGCTGCCCTCTCAGGACTAGAGCCTGAATTACAGTCAATTTCACCTCCACTCGAACTTTGCATTGCTCTTCCTGGTCCAAGCCTTATACTGTCGACATCAGTAAGCTTCAAAAAACAAAATTAAAATTTTTAAGTTTTCTTCTAATATAATATTTTTGCTCAATGAGTTTTGATTATACGACAAATTATAATTAGATGTATAAATCGTTATCACGAAATGTGTGTACAATCGCATTCTTATTTAAGGAAAAAAAGATTGCTTTGCTTAAGAAGAAAAACAATTTTAAATTTAAAAAAAAACATAATAATTAAGGCAGTTTTGCAAACTTTTTGAAAGCAATGTTCAGATCATTTTGAACTAGATCACAATATTACATAAAATATTTTTCGAAGAAGAAAATATATAAAGAGGGAAAGCTTCTTGGTCAGAAGAGTTTCATCAGAGACAATATTATTTAAGGAAAATCTTATTCTAGTATAATGGTTGGTTGGTGTCGTTGATTGGTCGTTGGTTGGTTGAATCATATTTCATGGTGTGCTTGAATAGTTTTTGTTATTTCTATGGCATTAAAAGAATACAAATCCTCTTCTGTGGGGTAGTTTAAGAGGTGAAGGCCTGCAGCGACTGCAGATTCTAGTATAATGATAGACAATAAATATAATATGATAAAATGATAGAATACTAAATATGATAGACAATACTAATATGATTCACTAAATGTGATACTTTTTTTTTGCGAAGAAAAAGGAAGATGGCCTGCTATTCAGATAAGAAGTTTCACACATAATGAGTTGAAAATGAAGTCGTTACAACTGGATTAATTAAACAATTAATATACTATTTACAAAACAAACAAACCTTAGACAGTGCAGGTTTTTCAGGATCAACAATACAACAGCTACTTATATTTTTTGTAGAAGACATCAAGCCCTCTTCAGATATTTCAGTGCTTTCAGCTAAAAGAGAAGGAAGGAAAATAAGGTTCAGAAAAATAATTTATGTATTAATTGGAGGTGCCATCAAGTCCTCTGAGGATATATAAATGTTTTGAGCTAAAAGAGAAGGGAGAAAAATAAGGTTCAGAAAAATAGTTTTAAATCACTCTGACTATTATTTTTTTTAAATGAAATACTTTTTTTTAAGAGATAAATAATAAGTGCCTACTTCCAACTCAATGTCAAAAATTAAGAAGAAAAAAAAGACTTCGCAGTTACATAAAAGAACATTAGAGTGAGAGAACGTTTTATAATTTGCCTTTCAATAAATAAAAAAATTATAAAAACGTAAATAAAGCTGCCGTTGCTGTTCTCATGATCATGAGTGTAGTATATCTACCACTACAAAAATACAATTCCAATTCACTAGTATATAAGGCATGCTAACTCGATTCTATGATGGGGTACCTTTTCATAGATGAAGGTTGACATTGTCGATATCTACCATCCCCACAATGGTGACACGGATGTGATGTGAACACGACTAACTTGACTGTAACGCCCACTTCGATCTGAACACGTCTACTTCGATAGATGATCCACATTGAACAGTTGACTTGCTACTTGTGACTATGAAATTATCCACCTCCTCACGCTGTTACTTCTCAGTCTCGATCACACACAACGTATATACTCGCCAGCTAGAGGCAACACAGGAGTGACCACGAACGTGAACTTAATAAAGCTCTCACGATCAGCATTCAAAAAGTACGGTGATCTTAATACAACTCTCCCTGCCTCTCACAAAAAACAGCAATGAATCAACTAGGGGTATCCGTTCATCGAATTCTATCATGGATATAATTCTGGTGGGGGAGTACTGTATCGTATCTACCACTACAAAAATACAATTCCAATTCACTAGTATATAAGGCATGCTAACTCGATACTACGATGGGGTACCTTTACATAGACGAAGGTTGACATTGTCGACATCTACTTTCCCCACAATGAGCTATAAAAAAATTTTACTATAAATTGTTTAATCTGATCACTGAAATTCATGGACTATCTAAGACAGTGTTCCCCAACCCCCGGTCCGCGGATCAAATAGTATCAAATGTCCGGCCCGCGGACATTTCATTAGAACTGAATTTAAATTTCTAGGTTTATACTCCAAATTAAAAATATCTAAGTCCCATTAAAATTTTTTTACTTAAAAAAAAGGGGCCCCCGAAGGTAGTGACATAAATTTTTCAATGTTTGTAATGTATCATTGTCTCTGATTACCCCCAGATGGAAACGTCTCATTGCAAAGAGACAAGCTCGGGGTTCTCATTGATTTAACGTCCTATAGTAAGTTAAAATGTTAAATCACTTTATATTTATTTTTTTTGGTGTAACTGTACTTTATTTTGAAGGTATGTTTAAATACAATTAAATTAAAAATAATAAATCGAAGTAATCTAAAATATAAACAATCTACGCCCTCACCCCACCCCGAGGTAAAATTATCAAATGATGACAGGTTCGCGGTGATAAAAAAGTTGGGGAACACTGATCTAAAATGTTGATTATTTTTAGAACATATGGAAATTACTTCTGTCAATGAAAAAAAGCGAGAAATATCTCAAGATTTTATATCTTAATTATATATCATATCTCAAGAGCAACAGCCGCTGTTTTGTGTGTTATACTTAACTTAAAAATTTAGTTTTGCTGCGCAAAAAACTATAAAACTTAGAAACTGCCAGATTATGAATTTCAAAGAACAAGGTTCGAGTAAGAAGAACGATGAGTCAGGGATCACGAGTTCGAAAAGCCACTGAAAGAGGGAGTTCGAACATTTAAAAATAATTTAAAGACAGAATTCGAAAATTATTAATTTCGATTGCTACGTTTTCTACCCTCATTATACAAATGCTATTTTTTGATTGGATGATAAATATGCTTGAATATATTTGACAAATCGAGATTAAATTTGGTGATTTTAATGATTGTATAGAGTGAATTTAGTTACCTCATGTTATAGAGAGTAGAATACTATTGAGGATTGTCTTCCTTTATGATGTTTAAGTTTAGTTATAATTTTTCTTGCTTAATCAAAATTCTTGTTAGTTCAAAGATGACTTTTTCATTACGCTTGCTAAGCATTTTCCACAACGCACTAAACTCTGCCAGCAGAAACTGTGAAGATTTGTTGAAAAAAGTTCATGGAGTTTAAAGGGAAAAAATTAAAAATTTCGATTATTAAGAAAATTTTTAACTGTTGCAGTAAATAATATTATGCAGGCCACTCAATGGACTGCGGAAATGCAACAACTGAGTTGAAATTTGACTTGCAGAAAGAGTCATTTTTACTTATAAACTTAACGTGAGATATTTTTTTAGAACATTAAATTTGATTGAAATTTATTGCAATTTTAAGTGGTTTAGAAATTTATTCTCATTTTCGTTTCGGCTTTAAATAATGACTACTTATACATTGATGTAAAAAAAAAACTTCCATCGGTATTTTTATATTAAAAGAAGTAGCTTAAATTGATGTCGAAAGTGATAAAAAAAAGTAGAAAAAATGAATAGATTTTAGTGAAGACTGATTAAGCGGTGAAATAGGCTCTGCGAAATCTATATATTCTAATCAATTAAAACGGAACTTTTTCAAAGTTAAAGAGAACAGAGAGTTGTCAGAAATGACGTATCAAGTATAAATGACAATAAATTGCTATTTAACCATTTTTCCCGATAAATTTCTAACATTGTATGCATCGCATAGTTTGATGTTGTTGTTGTTGTTACTTTACGTCGCACTAGAGCTGCACAATGGGCTATTGGCGACGGTCTGGGAAACATCCCGGAGGATGATCTGAAGACATGCCATAACAATTTTGATCCTCGGCGGAAGGGATGGCATCCCCGCTTCGGTAGCCCGACGACCTGCGCGCGAAGTCGAGCACTTTACGGTAGCACAGTTTAACGAGGACCAATACCGCACACCCTCGGTCCCTACGCAGACTGATCCAAGTGGTCACCCACCCGCACACTGACAGCAGCCAGTGATGCTTGACTTATGTGATCTGCTGGGAACCGTGTCTTAACGATCAGTCCACTGCGGGACCGCATAGTTTGATCAACGCTAATTAAGTTTGAACCCCTTACATGTTAATGTTTGCTTTTAGCGTATTTCGCCTTACCTCATCAGAAACTTTTCAAACAAATTAAAAAAATTTCACACATAACTATAAAATTAACTTATCGAAAGTTTATTCTATTCAGAAAATTAATTTTTAACAATTATTTAAATTTAATAAGAATCGGAAAAAACTTTGCACTGCGAGGTATACAAGTTTTTGCACTATTTTAAAAAATGTAATTTTCTGTAATAAAAGACTGCATTTGAATTAATTCTTGTGGAATCAAATTTTAAATGTACTACTTTTTAAAAAAAATTTTGATAACTCAGTAACTATTCTCCTAAATTTTGTAAACTTTGCCAAGCAAAATTTCACTCTTTAAAGCTATGCAAAAAAATCGCTTACTTTGCAAAATTCTTTAACTATTATTAAATAAAACAGTAAATAATACTACGTAATTATTAAAAATTATTTTTGCATGGAATTTTCTCTTATAAAGGAATTTTATAATTGTGAAATTTTTTTTATTCACTTAAAAAGTTTTCGAAATATGGCGAAATACACAAAAAAGTATAATTAACTTAAAAAGGGTTCAAACTTTCGACTCTTCTCCTGAACCAAGTTAACTGGACCGACTGAACCTAAACTGGTACTACCCTTCATGTTTTTTGGGCCCGTATTAAACTCAAATCGATCGAAAACAATAACTAAATATATGTACGATATTATGTATCAAAGATAAGTACGTTTTTTGTTAGATATCATACACTGTTAAAATTTTCATTCTAAAATTATGGTATAATAACTGGCAGCTGTCTGTTCATCAGATTAACCGTAAAGCTTACGGTAAAATTTTTTTTTCTTTTATGGTTTTGAAACCATTTACAAAAAATATGGTTATAAAACCATGAATACAAAATTATACGTTTTTTTAACCATTTGCAACTAGCAGTTTTCAAAAACTTTAAAAAGAAAAATATTTATTTAACTAGACATAGGATTTCGGCTTTTCATAAGGCATGGGAGAGTGCCGGACACTGGAAACTCTTCATGTGTTGAAGGGAATGGAGGAAATATTGTGATGTCAACACTAGGACTCTAATTCCAGTTTTGCCGGACACGAGATTGACAGACAAACCAACTCGGCTATAATATGTACGCAGTTGCAGGAAACTAAGCAGCTTCATTAGTTGGTGCGATTAGTTCAGGTGGTTCTAGTAGGTGCGATAAAATTCTGGTTGTTTAACCGTATTAGGTGAAAACAGTTAATAAACAGTTTTTCTCCAACTTAACAGTTTGATTGCCATTTTATTTATGGTTATTCGACTGTTTTGATGAAATATGGTGAAATAACCGTTCAATAAATTGTTATTTAACCATTTTTTTTTCGAGAAATTTCTAACAGTGCAACTGAAAATATCGTCTGCACTAAATAATTAGTATATTTAAGGTTAGGTCACCCAACCATTAAGATTGAGTCTTAATTTGTGAAAATACGATCATTTAAAGATTAAAAATTATTTTTGGAGTTTCGTTTTTTTCCCCCGCGTTGTGCGAAGCAACGTTACAAATTCCCGTATTAAACTAAAACAAACAAGGAAACATAGCAAAATTCAAATATAATAAGAAAATATAAATAAAATAAATCAGAATATGGATAACATATGCATATTACAGCATGAAATGCATTCTGGAGTTTTAACAAAAAGTTACACACCTATATTTTTACTTCTGTCTTGGTCATGAGGTACTCTTTTTTGGAAGGGAACGTTCTGGAGTTTCTCTTGTTCCTCATGTGCTTCAGGTTCAGCTTCTTTTTGAGTTAGTTTGATGGCTTTAGGATTGTTTTCGTCCTTTCTAGGAAACCGATTTTTCTAAAATGCGGAAGAATTATTTCTATACTTAATTTTATAACTCAAACAAAACTAAAAATAAAAAGTACTATGTAAAGAACCTCATTGCAAGAATGCTTAGAACCACATAAACTTAAGTCTGCATGAGCTTGAAAATAACAGTTGAACATGTATGCAATAGTTAACTAAGTACAGTAGAACTTCGAAGGATCGTTGTGATTAAGCGACGGATTAAGCGAACAATAGATACGAGAAAAAATCGAATGCTGCTTAACATATAATTACAGCGAATGATAAATAATAAAGAAGTGATGGACTCGAAAATTAATAAATTTACAATACGTATGAAAAATTTTAAGTGAAGAGATTACGCACTTAATGGAAAAATATTTATTGTGCAAAAGAAAGACGAGTTAGCGAATGTATTTATTTAAAATATGGAAAATTTTTTGGCTCGAACACTTTCATTTCAACACAAAAATAAATTTTCGACTTTTTTCCCAACTTTTTTCTTATAAATTAGTGCAAATATAGAAAGCTTCTTAAAGTTTCAAAGGCACCAAATATTTGCACTGATTGTGATTCTGTTTCATCGGTATCATTTTGCACTTCTTCAGTTTCTGCTACCATTTTTCCAACTGACATCCCGCCACAAGTTTCCGTGTTTTCATCAACTCACTGTGGGCCAGAAGACCATGATCTTTGGCCAAAAGTCAAAAATTAAATTTTCAACTAAAATATGTGTAGGCAGTTTTAATATAGCCCAAATTAAGTATTCAAAATCATTCCAAATATTATAGTTTACTTTTTGGATCAACAAGAGTACAATGTAATGAAAAATACGTTAAAAATTTTTTTTAAATGTAACTTTTAAATTTTTATTTCAGAAATATATTTAGGAATTTCACCTTACTGTTACATTTTTATCAGAGTAATTAGTCTGAAATTATAGTACAATTTTTCAATTTCTTGGATTATTAATATCTTAAAGTTTATATCTTATCATTTGACATTTTACAATGTTTGAATGACTTTCGAAACTTAGTTCCAAAAAGTTCCACGAGGTAATTAGCTAATATTTTTTTGTTGTCTTCTTTGATGCTTGTTCTTTCGAAAAAACCTGCCCCATTTTGCCCGTATTGCAATGGTGGACAAAATTCCCTGAAAAACAAAAATAATGTTTTTTTTCTTCATGTTCTCGCATTATTTTGTAATATTCGCGTTATTTTGTAATATTACTTCAGAAATATAATTTGCTTTTCATTTTCAATGAAAAATTACGAAAATTATTATATTTTCATGGCTATATTTAATTATTTAAACGTACTATAGTATTTTTTTAATTTTTGCTCGCCATATTTCAGCCGCCATTTTGTTTTTTGGGGTATTTTTAGTGTATTTCAAAATTTTAACTATGAATTCAATTTACCTGCACATAAAAACCCCTAAATACAAATTTTGTAACAAATTTTATCGAAATACTAATTTTGGCCACAAAACCTTGGATGCTGGCCCACTGTGCAACTGAAGAATTATACATCAAACGTTGATGTTTTCCCCAAAATGTAGCAAATCCACCAAGAGTCATGTGTAGGTGAAATTTTTTCATGATAGAAGCGTGATAGATCTTTTAGTTTCAGAAACATTCTGAACGGGTAATATGAACATTATTTTTTTTTTATCGCATAACGTTTCTCACGGGAACGGAAAAAGAGACGATACATATGGGAAAACGATGAATCGAAGTTCAATTGTAGTAAACTGTTTCGGAACGGAACTTTTATTTAAGTCGCACTAAAGCTGCACTATGAGTTATTGGCGACTGTCTGGGAAATATCCATGAGGATGATCCAAAGACAACACATGTACGCCCAAGCCTACTTCACAGCGAGGAGGACGCATTTATCCACCATCCATCAGCAACTCGTAATTTTGAACTGAACCAGATCAATATCAATCTTCGATCCAGTATTCCTAGAAGTATGGTTTGTTATGGGTACTTGGAGGACTTTGTGACCCCGACAGATTTTAGCGAAAATCAGTCGCCATTTTGAACACAGGAAATCTTCAGCCGGTAGAAATCGAACTCGTGACCTTTTGGACATGGGCCACCAGTCAAGGTCATCCCAGCCCTGTATTGAAATGGAAATTATTCCTAAATCACTATTTATATCAAGATTATTTTTGAGCGCATTATTAAGTTTTTGCTCCTTAAAATAATTCCTTTCTTGCATTTCATATAGAACTGGAATTGAGGTCTTTCTGATTTAGAGTTAATTATTGTATCTCTTATTTATTTATCTCTAAGTTTCTAAATTGTACCACAAAAGAAGATAGTCAACATTTGTTAAACATGTCAATTGAGCATTAACAGCACTTCTAATGTGCCATACAAAATATGAGATATATGCACATAAAGTATATTTGAACATACCATTCTTGGTACACCTCTCCGAGGTAAAGATGGCCAAAAGTGATCTCGGTAGATAGACAGTACAGGCAATAACTTTGGTCTGCCCAACTTATGTACATGAGGCTATTAAATAAATAAAAAAAATTATAATGAAATAATAATAAAAAATATATATGAAATAAAAATAAAAAATAATATGGATTAACTCTTTATTATCTAAGCATCTACCTTATGAATGTTACTTTGTAAACAATACAGAACTTATAAAAGCAAAGATTTTTAAATTATATTTCTTAATGTAAATTGTGTATATAAATTAGACTGTAGATACACTTAACACGAGAAGCTTTAAAAGCAAAGCTAAAAGTTAAATACAAGGATAAAATGTTGAAGTTTTTCATAATTGATACAGATTAAAATTAATAATTACTGATGCTGACATAATACCGTTGAAGTATACACAGAGGGGATCTAGGACAATTTCTTTATTACTGCTCTAGTATAATTAGGTATCTAAATTTATAAATTTTAATTTTTGAATGAAATTAGGTACAGTTACATTTTTATATATTTTTTGCTATTTGAGAGAAGAACTTTCTAATTCATTTTTCCTCACATTAAGTTAAAGCAAATTATTATTACTGACGCATTTACGCTACAAGAACGCATTTGTAATGCACTTGCGTCGGTGACTGCACAAATGCTTCAAAATGTATGGCTTGAAATGGACTACCGCCTACAGGTTGTCCGTGTGACAAAAGGAAGTCGCATAGAAAATCTGTAATGCATGTATACAAAATTTTGAAGTTCCTTCAACATTCTATGTGAATTTTATAGATAAATTCTTTTTCATTAAATAGTTATAGCTTTTTGTAATCGCTATATTCATTTCGAATTACCCTGTATAACCATAATTAAAAGGTTTCTGAGAAACAAAAACTTATAACATCTTATTTCAGTTTATAACAGTCTTATGCATGATTGCTAAAGAGATGGGCAACTCTTTCAAGAAAATTGATTTAGAATTTCGACAATGAAAGTTAACTTTAACACTGACCATTACAACATTTCTTATTCCTTCTTAGCATCGTAATATTCATAAAAATATTATCGTTATTAAAACAACTGAGTTTTTGAAGTAACGGAAATAATGTCAAAATGTTTAAAATATAACATCACTTCAAAAATAAATTCAGATTTATTTATTTTTTAAAAAAAATGATATAAAAAGACTGTCTAGACAGACTGTTCAAAACTTTGCAGCAAAAAATTTTAACAATTTTGATGATGCTATGAAATACACCGAAGCGCCATTACATTATGACCATCTATAACAATGGGCTCGCCCAGGTTTTCATGGTTTCTGGCCCAGGAATAATGTTTTCATGAGGCACATTAGGACCCATAATCCTCATAGAACACTCCCTGACGTCTGTAAGCTACTTGAACACAGTTGTAGACCAGGTTCACCCATTCATGGCGACAGTTTTTCCAGCGGGGGATGGTGTTTACCAACAGGATAATGCACCATGTCATAAGGTTCGAATCGTCGAGGAACATTGCAGTGACTTTCAAGTCATGTCTTGGCCTCCAAATTCACCTGACCTTAATCCAATAGAGCATTTGTAGTCCTACTTGGAAAACCAAATTCGTGCCGCCACGATACCCCCTCGCAATGTGAGGGAATTGCCGGACCAGTTAGTGAGCACTTGGTACCAGATACCTCAGACTACCTATCAGCACCTTGTGGAATCAATGCCGCGGCGGGTGCTAGCAGTTTTGGGGTCTGAAGGTGGTCCTACATGTTATTAGCAGAATAATCATAATGTAATGGCTCTTCGGTGCATATTGTAGTGATGTTGAAATTCTCTGAAATCCCTGAGCTTATGCAAGAAAAATAATAAAGGTATTTTACTATGTGCAATATATAGAATAATAATTATACCTTGTCTTTAATGACATCTAGGTTTGGCAATTTCTGAGGTTTAACTAAGGACATAGGCACGCATTGTAATTGAAGAAGAAAATTCCTATCGTATCGCTTATTCCCCTCTTTATTTACAGGACTCCATTGATCTATAAAAAAAAATCACACATGGTTTATAAACAAATGATTTCAAATTGCAAAGAATAATTAGTATCAAAGGAATCACACACACACACCTTCTTTGTAGTTGTATTTTATTTTATTTGATTGTTTTATTTTATTCTGCGCTTGATCATCTACATTTTCTTTGTCTTCATTTTCAGTTGTAGGTGAAACTGAAAATGAATCACTCTGCTGTTCAACTAGTGAGATGTCACTCTGAGGTGAATTGTCAGAGAGTATTCCCCAAGGCAGATGAATAGTATTAAGTAATTCACTATTTACAATTGCAGCAGGAGGTAGAGGCTGTTCATCTGCTTGGCTTTGAGGGACTTCTGGAGAGGTTGAAACTGACACTGCGACAACCTCCTGAAATTGGAAGAAATCCAGTCAAAATGGTCAGACACTGATAAATTGATATTCTCTGCATCAAGTCATTATGCACTCAACTCCAGTAATTAAACAATTAATAAAAGATTGACTATTTTAAAAAACAGGGATATAATCCTTGTATATGGATAATAAAATGAATAAGGAGTATGCACTTGCTGTGTCGGAAAACCTCCGAAAACCCGCGTAATTCAAATAAAAAAACCTTGATAAATCCGAAAATCAACGTCAAAAATTGTAAAACGTTTATTTTAAGAGGAATATGGTTGGTTGGTTGGTTCTAATGCCACTTGCCACACGGGTAAGCCTGCTTGGTGAAACCGAGCAACTTTAAGACAGAGTGTGCGATTCTTATTTTTCAGTGGCGCCATCTATGGCCAAGAATTCGATTTCAGCCACATCATACGTCACACCTGAGGCCCTTCAAAATAAGATTAACTAAGTTTACGTGGCAATGGTTTCTTACAAAGTGGTTTCCGTCTACGATGATTTTGAAAATCATGCGTATCGTATTGTAAAGATAAAATAACCTAAAAAAGGAAAAAATATACCAAAAACTTACTTTCACAAACCACCTGAAATGGAGTTACTTTTATAAACTTTAATGCAAGTAGCTTGTAGCAATTCTGTTCCAAGTTTATTCATCAAATTCTTCCTTAAAATCAGGCATTGTATAATTTTTCTCAAAAGTGCTGACACAGATTTTGTAAGGAAACCCCAATAATTAAGTTGGTCAGTTTTGTTTATCTCTATTAAACCCCCAGCTTTTCTCACGATATTCAGCAAAATAATAACAACTTTTAGTGTACTTAATAAATCTTATGATAGAACAATACATTGTAAAACAATTCATGTTAAGAGCTTAAGTTTCTCCCAATATGTGTTAAGAAAACGATCATCAAGAAATTTTTTAATTAGATCTGTTTGCATTACAAACTTACATGTATGTACCTTATTTAAATATTTGGGGTACATGTATGTACCCCAAAAATGATATTTTACCTATTTCATTGAATTTATAAGTGCGATTTATTTGTTGCATTCATTTTAAAAATGATCTTTCAGAAACAATATTTATATTCGACACGAATATAAATACTGAGGCAATGAATTTTGCTGAATATAGTTCAGAAGGGAATTTACAAAACAAATCAATTGCTTATTAGAATATGCAAATAGAAGAATAATTTATCTTTCCTATAAGTTATGCTTAAGCAAGTTACTTTTTTTATCCGGCAAATGGATCTAATTCTATTATAACAATATTTATCAATAAAAAAAATTATAAGTCAAAAAATTCATTAAACAAAATTTATTATTTAGTAAAAAATAAGGACGCAAAATAAAATTTGGACTAAGGCAACTTATATATCATTTGTTAGATAATGCGCTTATCTACATCATATCTTATCGTTTTGACTTTTGAGACCGAATCATTTAAATTTTTTACACAATATTCTGAAGAGAAAATTGTGACAACAGTGTAAATTCCAATAATGTTGACAGCTATTATAAAGAATTGCAATTACCTTGCAGTCCACAAATTAGAGAAATACAAGCCGGTAAATAAGAAGCATAGTTCTATTATTAATATATTAGGAATGTAGAGAAATGGATTGCATTTTGAATATATTTAAAATAAGTGTGAAAATAAAACCAAAGGAATGAATAGAAAAGACTGCTATAGAAAATTTAAAATTAGTTTCAATGACTTATAATCATGTAAAAAATTCCGATTTAATTTAATTACTGAAATACGTCACATCATGAGTCTCCTAGACATTGATTATTTTCCACTAAACTCATACAAAACTTAAAAAAGTAATATTTTGATATGGTATTTCATAACTTACCCTCGTTAAATCTGTTACTTCTTGCAACTTAAATCTGACCTTAGAATTGTTTGAATGTTTGTCTAATATTTTCTGCATTTGTGTAAAATAACCTTCCATCTGAAAAAAAAGAGACTGTCAAAATACAGCAAAAAATATGACAAGAAGTTGAGTTTTTTCTTTTTTCTTTAAAAAAAATGACATGCTTAAAAGCCATTACTTTTATATTTATATCTGATTCTGAAAATCAAAAACGCATTTTTGAAATTTATTTGTCCAAAGTATTTTACGCGAAATTTTTTTTATTTATTATTTAATTTAATGATAAACAAAAGATTTTTTAATAAAAAAAAATTATATAAAAAAAGTAAGAGTAAAACATTTTAAATAAAGAAAAGGTAAATAAAAAAATATTAAGTAAGATACATGTAGAACAATTTATAAATCTATATTAAAAAATATTGCGCAATCATGCACAAAACTGAAAGTCACATGACGTCACAATGAAATGAGTCAAAAAACCTTATCCTACAATAATGAAAAAGACGCTTTCAGTTTTTAACATTTGTTTGCAATTCTAAAAAAATACTTATACAGTCGACTCGTGTTATAACGACCCTGTGATAGAACGACCAACATGATATAACGACCCTGTGAAGGAGTCCCAATTCACATCCATAAAAGATAACGTTATTTTACTCTTGCTACAACGACCGTAAAAAAGGTCAACTCTTAATATAACGACCCTCTCTGAATTTGAACACAGCTCTTTTCTAACTTCCTATTGGAAAGTGGGGTTGAATGGTTGACCTTGAACAAGCACACCTCCGTTAAGTCCTGTTAACATGTTACTTCAACAAATTAATGCACATCAAAAAATTAATGTCTTCATCTAGTGAAGCCTCGTTTATGTTCCTCGGTTTACTCTTCTTTATAATACTGCAGATTATGTACATAAAAAAAAAATTCGTTATATATACCGCAAATTATGTACATCAAAAAATTAATTTATTAGAAACTAGATTTTTCTTTGTCCTACTATGTTTTTTAATCTGTACTTTAAAATAAAATTCTTAATTGTTAACAGTTGTAATTCAATTGTTAAAATGTCATCATGTTTTATTAATGTACGTATCCTATCCTTTTTTGGTTTATAACATGTATACCACAAATAGTATATGCATGCATTATGACGTTTAAAACCATTATGTGACCGATTTTCTAAGGAAATTTGTTCATTTTGATATGGCGACCATTTGATGTAACGACCAGATTGGGGCAGTCCCGATGGGGTCATTATAACGCGAGTCAACTGCATAAGATTATGTTGTAACTCGATTATGTTGTAATTAATTCATGTGATTTTAAAACTTAGCTATGAACTTTAAAGCTTTCGTAGGTTTCGGTGATCTACAATAAATGATGAAAGAAAAGAAGTATTTTTGTACACCCTATGCTAAAAAAATCGAGCAATTAATTTGTAACTTGTATCGATTACTTTGGTTGTTATTTGCAATGACTGTATAAAATTTCATAAATCTAACTTAAATATTTATGGTAATATTGGTATTTGTATAAAAAACAACAACTTGTCTTATATTTTATTATGCTATAACTTTAACAATATTTAATAAAATTAAAAAAAATTTTGGAGTAATTAAAAAAATTAAATAATTAATTAAATTGCAAAATTATTTTTTAAAAATTTGAACAAAATTCGTTAAAAAATGCGCAAGATATGACTATTTAAAGTAGTTCTTTTACGCTGTGCAGGCGATAGGCAAAATTGAAAAAAAAATTATTTCATAATTTCGTAGTGACTCGTGTTTCGCAACTAATTGAAAAAAAATCTGGTTTGAATATTTTAATTTAAAGAGTTTCAAGCAATTTTCTAAGTAATTTTTGTATTTCCTTAAAAAAAAATTATAAGGTGTGTTCTATAATTTGTATTTTTTATCATAAGACAAATTTAAAAAAAAAAATGATTGTGATCTCCTTATTGTGATCACTGGTTACCCATTGGTCAAATGTTTTTTTTTCTTTTTTTTCTGGTTTAACCCCGATAAACGCCACGACATTTAAAATCATGGGTTGCAAAAACTGTCTCAATGGATGCTTGTCTTCGGATTGGTTTTCAAATCCTGCCTATGTACGTGTTTCAAGACATCACAAAATATTTTTCCTTCTTCAGTATTCATATTTATATTGAAATCACAATTATAAGTTAATAATAAAAAGAATCTAAAAATACTTTAAATTATTATTATGTAAATACTGACTGATGGTGAATATAAGAAGAATAAAAGATGTCTAAAAAAATTATCAAACAGCAGCGATCACCATAGCAACGCATGCAATATCGACGCATGCGCACTGCATGTTCTCATATCTCAAAAATAAACTCACCAACTTAACGAATAACAAAATTAAAAGTGAAAAAAAAGAATTTTAAAAATATTGTCGAACAGAGCGGTCGCCATAGCAACGCATGCGCTCTGTTTACTATTACTCTTGAGCAGAGTTGAAAAGTGTGAAGACGTCCAAATAAGGTGCGGACGCTATCAAATCTAAAACATTGATGCAAATGGGTAAAAAAAAGAAAAAAAACTTAAAATAAAAAGAGATTTTTCGCAAATTCCATTTTATACCAAAAGACAAAATTTAATAACAAATTTTAATACCTTACAATAATCATCCGGTCACAAACTGTGATGGTATGAGAAAAGAAAATAAGCAGAAGAAAATATTCTTCTTTGAGAGATGATCCCCCACAATGCAGGTGTCATTTTTAATATATCTTGCTTAATAGTACCAAATAAAATTTGTGAAAAACCCCTTATCATTTTAAGCTTTCTTTTGAAAAACCACAAAACTACCTAGAAAATTGCTTGAAATTTTTTAAATTTATAAGATATTCAAAACAGACTTTTTTCATTAGTTGCCAAATACGATTCACTGCAAAATTATAAAAAAGATTTTTTTTTTAATTTTTCCGCTCATGCGCAGTGTAAAAGAACGATTTTCAATAGTCATATTTTGCTCAATTTTTAACAATTTTTTTTCAAGTTTTAAAACAATAATTTTGTATTTATATTTTAATTGCTCTGAAAATTTTGTTTAATTTTTTGAAATATTTTTAAAGTTATAGCAAAACAAACGTAAGACAAAAAAATTAGTTTTTTTTAAAAATAAAAAATGCCCATATCACAATAAATATTTAAGCTATGTCTATTAAATTTTATGCAGTTATTGCAAATAATAGCTAAAGTAATCGATATAAGTTAAGAGCTTATTGCTTGATTTTCTGGCATAAGTTGTTCATAAATAATTGTTTTCTTCCGTAATTTATTGTTGGTCCCTGAAACCTCTGAAAGTTTTAATTCTTATTACGAAGTATGAAATATGATTAATTATAGATCGTAAATCTGATAACAAAATAATTGCACAAACCTTCCAAGATTATTTTTTATGAACCTTCATAAACTTCGGACTAATAACGAACTGAAATATTTAAAACTTGAGCTTGAAACAGAAAAATGTCAAGAAAAACTTCTCAATTTTAACACGTTTTGTTTTTCTGATACAATTATCCTATACAAATCGAGAATTTAATTTCTTATTAAAGAAAAAAAAATGAAAATCACTAAAATAAAGTATATATATATATCACTTCAAGTTATATCTGGCTATAAAACTGGTTTCGGTAAATTTTTATTCTGCCAATAGTTATTTAACATATTTCAACAACGTATTTGCTTTTTCAACACTTAAATATAAATTTTAAAATTTTTAATATCGTGTGCACTTTTTTGATCAGATATTTTCATGATTAAGGGAGGTCATTACGAAACACTCTCTGTAATGTTTTATAGCTCAATATATCTGTAGGTGCTTGACTAGCTTTCCCAGTAGGATAACTCAGATTGAAGATCTTTAAAAACTTCAAACTTGCAGTTAGTTACAAGAATAACTTTCATCACTTTTCCTTATAAATAAAAGCACTGTTCAAAATGAAAACAAAGAACACTTACACTTTATTTCGAACGTTTAGCTTTTTATCGTCTAGTTCATGGGTTTCCAACTAACATGAGGCCGGGGGGGGCTACAATTAAAAACACAAATCAAATGGTGGGCCTCAACTTAATCAAAATTTTGTGTAGGACTCTTTTATGTTTGAAGGAACATTAAATATTAATGTCATATTTTTACTAAGTTGTACAAAACAAAAGTATTGAATTATAAATTTAAAATAAGAAGTAGATTTTTAAAAATACTTAATTGCATATTAAAACATTCGGGCTACAATAACTTTAATGAGCATCCAATGTATTAAACAATTAATGTGCAACAGGTATCTAATTGTTGAGATGTGAAACTTTAAAGAGGTTGATATTTAAACTTTTATAGTAGAACACAAAATGTTCAGTGACAAAATTGAGGTTTGTCTGCTGCAAAAACCAGAGAATGGATATTTACATTTTAAATTTAAAATTTACAAATGCGTGTGTAAATATTTTCGTCCAAAATGAGTGGTTTCAAAAAGTTAAATCGGAGAATTCCTTCGAGAAGATTTGTGATACACACATGCTAAATTATATTTACAAAGTACAAAAATTAAATAAAAAAGAGCAACATACACGATTATTTTTGTATTTGAATAAATATTTTCTTGGATGCAAAACCTGAGAAATAATTTTTTTTTGCACCGTTGGTATGATAAATTTCACAGAAACGAAGAAATTCGGTTTTTATTAACGAGAAAAGTATATTAAACCCATATAGATTTTTTACGAAAATTGTCCACAAAAAAATGACGGATTTATATATTTCAGTTCGCTGGCGACACAAAAGGCTTCGGGGATTGGATGCGGCCCCCGGGCCGCCAGTTTCAAACCACTGGTCTAGTTCATTACCTACCGTTTTTAGTAAGTTACTCAAACACTCAAGTGATTCTTCATCTCCTTGCGAGAGCAACCTCATTATACTTTCATGCATGATTGGTTCAGTTAACATTCCAAATTTAAGGAGTTCTTCACCAACAAACCAATAAAGACAATAACTTTAAATTTATCCTTTATACATATCCATCCTTTATACATTATACATCTTTTATACATTATGTATCCTTTGATACATAAAATCCACTATTTAGAAACAGGAACATTAACAGCACATATTTATAACCAAGAATTTTGATCACCTCCGTCTTTCATTAAAAAACGATACACTGATAAACAAACGAAACTTCAAAACTGATAAGAATGCCAAATATGATAAACTATGTTGATAAAAATAACAGACGTGCTTGATTAATTTTCTGATTGTTGTCGCGTAACTTTAAAATTAAAATAAGTTATCTTTATATTTCCTTGTAAAATCATGAATTCTTCATAGATCATAGTCACCAATGCATACAAATATAAATCAGTGAGGTTGATTCATTAAACAATTACGAGTGAAAAAGAACTTAAAGATTAGGTAGAGACCGTGTTCTTTCAGAAACTATGAAAGAGTACATAGCTTCATAGTCATGTGGCTTCTTTTAACGGACCGGTTCTCAGACTGCTTCCCTCCCACCGGCGATCACATGTTACGACCATGTAACAAAACATTATATTTATAGAAATAATAAATACATCGTAAACATTATATTTATAGAAATAATAAATGCATCGTAAACATTAAAGCAGGCTTTCATTTGCTTCATAATTGCGTGCTGTTAGCAGTATTGAATTTCGGTATACATTACACGATTAAAAAAAAATATATAAAAATTTTGATCGATAGAAAATTTGTAGCCATTAAAGAGAGAGTTACGCGATGCAATTTTTTATAAAAAGATTGAAAATCGTCCACCATATATCACATAAAACTGTCATTAATCAAATTAAGAAATCTTGTGTTATATAATCTTTGAGATAGAAAAGCGACTTGTCAGTGAAATGTCCAACGATTGCTAACACTTTAAAGATGATCTGATACCTATTGATCTGAAACAATATGGGATTTCAACCACCACCGGGACCGAACCCCAGTTCTTTGCTTTGACAGCTCAGTGCTTTAACCACTGAACCATCACAACACTTTTCTTCTCTGAAACTTTGACGTTGGTAAAAATTTTGATTTTTACCAACGTCTTTATTGCGCAGTGTTTTTTCCTCCTTTTCGTATTCAATTTTGTCCTTACGTTTAAACATCTATGATCATTTCTATGCTCAAATTCAGCTATATTGTTTTAGACATGTTATGCTCGATATCTACCCTACTGAAAATAATTCCCGGTATAAAAAAGTTATACCGGCTTATGAAACACAGGTTCCGGTATAAAATTGATTCCGAACCCAGTATCATACCGGAACCGGTGTTTCATAAACCGGTATCAAACTGATTCCAGTATGATACTGGATCCGGTATCATATCGGAACCGGTGTTTTATAAGAGGGTATAAAATTGATACCGGTATTATACCGGATCCAGTATCATACCAGAACCAGTACTTTATAAGCCGGTATCAAACTGATTCCGTTATGATACCGGACCAAACAATAAACCGATATCATACCGGAACTTGTGTTTCACAAGCTAGCAGGATACGGGCTTTGGTATCATACCTAAACTGTTGTTTAAATGGCTGGTATCATACTAGAGCCAGTATATACTGGTAGTGTACCACGCACAGTATACTGGGATGGTGTTTTAAAAACTGGCTTATTTTTAACACAAATATAATGTGGTACTACAGTTTGACACAGGAACGTTAATGAGCAGCTCCGAATGAGAATTATAATACTCTGATTTGCATAAAGTAAAAACATTCAACACACGCAATGAGAGAATCTATATATTATATAGCTTTTCTCTTAACTAAGAGTAAAATAATAAAATGAAAGATATAATTGAAATTCATGCTATTTTAAAAACATTTGGCGTCATTTAAAGTTTTTCTTTGCTATGGAGACCGTTGGTTTTAAATTTTTACTTAATGAATTAAACATTCCAGCAACATCCGGTTGTGGATTATAAGGAGTCAAAAAGGTTGAAGTTTCACA